AATTACTAAAATTAAAAACATAAATTTTGCAAACTCTTAAGAGTGTCAAGACATAGTACCTACCCCAGAGGAAACCGACAGGTTCATTGTTAGAAGTAAAATTAATATAGCAGAAAAGAACGTTGAGTGCAAAATGAAAAGTCAAAAGGTAGAAAATTAACTAAACACTAAATAAAAGAAGTGAAACTTTTATGATGTTCTGAAGGTAGTTTCAAGCTCTGGTAAATATGAAATAATTCTTAAAAGGAAACATGGAAACCACCTTTTTTTTAAGAAGCTAGACAGGAACAATTTCTTTAGTGACTCCGAGGTAGTATGATATACTCACTTTTATCTTTTTTTTTTTTTTTTTTTTTTTTTTTTTTTACTTACTTTTATCTTAAGTGAAGGTAGTGATTGGAGTGGAGGGTGGTAAAGATCACAGAATCATAGTGGGAGGAAAGATTAGCCAAGCATCATAGGATATTAATGATCTGTAGGCATAAAATGCCACTCTTTAATAGGTGAGGAAACCAGTCCAACCAGAATGATGGGGAGGTAGGAGCTCAGCCCAAACTGGAGCCAGGGGTCCTGAGACTCTGAGCAGAGCCCCTTGTGCAAGCTCATACAACTTCCCATACAAAGCAGCTCAGTTTGGGTGTTTTTCTCATCTTCTGGATAGAGATGTGGCATTTTCAACTCAAGAGGTTTTCATAGTGAGGCTATAGAAAACTTTTTTTTAAGATTTTAATTTATTTATTCATGAGAAACACACACACACAGAGGCAGAGACACAGGCAGAGGGAGAAGCAGGCTCCATGCAGGGAGCCTGATGTGGGACTCGATCCTGGGTCTCCAGGATCACGCCCTGGGCCCAAGGTGGCGCTAAACCACTGAGCCACCTGGGCTGCCCAGCTATAGAAAACTTTATGAAGTACCTACAGGTTTGAAATTATATAGTTTGGTTCTGTTGTTGGTCAGAGGCTCCGAGGATTGAAAAATCTAGGGAACAAGATTGGAATAGAAGGGGAGGAATGGGAGAAAGTTAAGGCAATGAGTGGAGAAACAGAGACAGGAAAGTGGGAGAGAAAATCCACAGAGGAAGAAAGAGAAGGGAGAATGATAGGGGGGCAGACAGAAAGGCTCAGCACGGTTTCAGAGGTAGTGTACTCTGCACTTGAACTACATACAGCCTCCAAAGGCGACGACCATTTGTTTTCCAGGGTTATTCTGAACGCCTGATGAACTCTCTCAACACTGTTCGCAGCTCTGCAACTGCTTGAGAACTTAGGCCTTCGAGCCTGCATTCCTTATCAGATAATAAGCAGAACATTTTGCCAAGGAAAAATAAAAGCTTTTAACCACAGTAACAGTAATCAGAGCAGACCATCTTTAAGTCTTAAGAAAATCAAATCAGTGGGTCACATTTTCTCATCCTAAGTTTCTCTACCCCTGCTTTGAAGATGGGGCATTGAATTTCAGCTGTCTTTTATTCTGGAATTTGCAGTCAACGCTGGATTTCCTATAATAGAAAGTTTTTGATCAGTAAGAAAGATATTGTGAAATTTAAGTCTTATGACCTCTCTTCACCTGAGACACACAACCTCTGAAAAGGAAAATTCACTATAAATCATGTGTGAGATTGTCTGAGACAAATGGTGACTATGACATAGCATTTACGCTTTTAATACTGACATTTCCAAGAAAGCAAGTCGTACTAAGCCCCTGCCCTCCAACATGTTATCTTTGTGTTGACGTTGGAGTTTGTTCTCACTCTTTCTGGAAAACCTCTGATCTGATATTCTAGTCAGTTCAAAAACTGTTTATCTTTTTCACATGAGTATAAGACGTGATATTCCAAAAAGAGTAAATTCATCTTATGTCTATTTGTAGCCAAATTAAAAATGGATTAGCCCTTGTTTATTTATTCATGTGGACTGTTCACATAATCTATGGATTGCTGAGATGTCATTGTATCTACAATCCAGTTATGTGATGGAGAACAGACATTCATATTTGTGACCAGAGCTTCCCCATCTCTAATATTTTTAGTTGTATTCCCTGATTCTAATATTGTTGCTCAATTTTGTGTATGTATTCATACTCCCTTGTCACCTGAATACAAAATTTGGCCATGGGCATTGATGGCATCCAAGATACGCACTGTGAGGTGCCTGTTCTGTGTAGGTACAATGCTGGCACAGAAAAGGTGAGACTAATGGTTTTGGCCTTATAGACTTATAATTTACTAGAGAAGACAGTACATATGAATAAGGAAAAAATGTAAACACCAGCATTTACTTAGTAGACATTAGTGCAGCTTCTAATCTCAGTTTTCTTTCAGTTGGTCGAAACCAAACTTAAGATGAGAAATACAAATTTTCTTATTCTGTTCAGATATACCTCCCTGTAGTGAGCACTTCACATAAACTACCTCATTGAATCATCATAATACTGCCCGTGATACTGTAGATACTGTTATCCTCATTTTGTAGAGTAAGAAATTGAGGCTCAGAGAATTTAAGTTATTTACCCAAATCATTGTGCCTCCTCTTTATTTTTGTAAAAATAGGTGTTTATGTCATCTGTGGTGAAAGTATGTATGTATTTACTTACCATATTTCTGTCACTATGTGTTTGAAAAAAACCTTTCTATTCAAGTGTATCTATTTATTGTATGAAATACTTATATATCATCCATCTACATTTTTCATAAATATGACTTATTTTAATTTGAGAAAATACTTGACTTCCGATGGAGAAATAATTATAACTTATAAAAATGGAGAAATCAGAGACATACAGACATTGGTGTGTATCTTAAAAAAGAGTTCTAATTATGAGGACCTCTTAAATATGAGAGTTTTTCCCTTGGTGTAAGGGCATTGACTATAAACATGGTGTTTTACATTAAAAGTGGTGTTTTGGATGTATTGCTTGATGCTCCATGATTTTCTGCAAAAACATTACAGGAGAAGATCAAATAAGAAGATGCTGCTGCAGATCAAAATAATAGATCAACAAAAGGGAATACTAGAGCAGTAATGTCTTAAAGAATTAATACCCCGGGGAAAAGAGCTGTGGAGCAAAAGAATACAAATATGAACACACACACACACACACACACACACACACACACACGTTCTGACATATACAATGTATACACAAACATATATACATATAACATGTAAACATAAATGCATTTTAGGTAAGTCACTCAAATAACTCCATTTATGCATTAGTCCTACTGGCTCTTTTGTCAGCTGTTTTGTGGAAAACTGTTGATTCATTATTTAACATGTATTAAACCTTTATAATCTATAAGCACCGTGCTCAGGGATAAGGATATGACAGACAAGATATTCTTTGTCTTTAAGAGCTCCCAACGTCCTGTGCAGGTGTTACTGCATTGGTATAATGAAGCAGAAGTGACATTCACAGAGTTTCATGATCCTAGAAGAGGAATATCATGGAGGGCTTTCTGGAGATTGATGTCTTAGAGAAGTCTTGAACAGCAAGCAGCAGTTAGTCAAAAGGAAATGGGAAAGGTGGCTGCCCTTCCACAGCATGAAAAAAGCTCTAGGAGCTTGAGACAGGAGGTTGTGTGTCTTCTGGGGTTGCTGGAATATAGTGATGATGGAGAGATGAGAGGTGAGGGTGGACCTCACCTTAGGCCAGACCTAATAAGGCTAATTGGACTTTCTACTGCCAGTAATGATGAGTCTTTGTAGAATTTAAAGCACAGAAAGGGCCAATTTTGTATCTTAGCAGGTCATTCTAGTAGCTCTGTGGAGAATGTTTTTTAGGCCGAGAACACCAGAGTTCAGGATCTAACTTAACAATAATGGGTCTTCTAATCCATGAATGTTGAGTATCTCTCATGTATTTAGATCTTTAGTTTCTCTCAGCTGTGTTCTAAGCTTTCAGTGTAAAAGTCTTAATATCAATTTTGCATCTTAGCAAATCATTCTAGTAGCCATGTTGAGAATGGTTTTTAGGTTGACAACACCAGACTTTGGGATCTAGTTTAAGAGGCTGCTGTGGAAATGTAGGCAAGAGTTGCTGAGGTTCAAGGGTGACAGGGACAGGGTCCTGGCGGTGGAGCACTTATGCTATGTTTAGTAGATGAAGTTGGTTAAGACCTGGTTCTTAACTGGATGTAGACAAATGGATCAGGATTTCTCAGTTTTAGCTTGGGGGTGGGGGGTGTTTTTCCCAGCCCCCACCTGTGCTCCACAAACCCGCATGATTGTCACGGGCTCCATTTAATATCGAACTGAAATTTATTGCATAGTCTCGGGGGCCAGACACGGTGCTGAACTTTACACTCATGAACTCATTTAATGCTCAAAACAATGTGATGAAGGTACAGAGTCCTAACTGTGCTAATTTTGCATAAAGGGGAAACAAAGAAGTTTCGATAATAAAATACATCTTCCCCCCCCGCCAAAAAAAAAAAAAAAAAAAAGAAAAAAGAAAAGAAAAAACTGGATGTGGGGATGCAGAGGGCCAAACCTCTGACATGGAGAAGGAACAGGAACTGGTTGCACAGGTTGGCGATATGGTCAGTTTAGTTTCAGGTGTCTCTGGCTCAGCCAGGCTGAGATATTTCAATCTGGAGCTTGAGAAAGCAGTCCCTGGTGGTCAGTTTGTGAGTTCCCAACCTCTGGGTGCATGCAACCGAATGCACAGCCTCGTGTGTGTGTGTGCGTGTGTGTGTGCGCGTGTGTGTGATACACTGTAGTCTTTTCCTCTTTTCTCATCTCTGAAGGCCGAGCTTCCTATCTCACGCAATGCACAGTAATTAACATGACACCTCCCTGTTGTGCGGGAACAGCAAAGCCCTCCCAAGGAGCAGGCAAGGCTTTGGGCAGGTGGCAGCCTGCCCCCCAGTGACCCTTGTTGCTTTCTTTCCAGTCGCGTCGGTGGACATGCCTGCCTCGGAGGGCGACCGCTGCGGCTGACGCTCCCGCAGCTCATCCTTCGGAGGATCGTGGCTCCGCGCCGCTGTCCGGATCACGATGGCAGAGAAGGTGCCCCCTGGCTTGAACAGGAAGACCTCCAGGTCGACCCTCTCCCTTCCACCCGAGCCCGTGGACATCATTAGGAGCAAGACGTGCTCGCGGAGGGTTAAGATCAACGTGGGCGGCCTCAACCACGAGGTCCTGTGGCGCACGCTGGACCGCCTGCCGCGCACGCGCCTGGGGAAGCTGCGGGACTGCAACACGCACGAGAGCCTGCTCGAGGTGTGCGACGACTACAACCTGGGCGACAACGAGTACTTCTTTGACCGGCACCCGGGGGCCTTCACGTCCATTTTAAATTTCTACCGGACCGGGAAGCTGCACATGATGGAAGAGATGTGCGCGCTCTCTTTCGGCCAGGAGCTCGATTACTGGGGCATCGACGAGATTTACCTGGAGTCGTGCTGCCAAGCCAGGTACCATCAAAAGAAGGAGCAGATGAACGAGGAGCTGAGGCGGGAGGCCGAGACCATGCGAGAGCGGGAGGGGGAAGAGTTCGATAACACCTGCTGCCCCGAGAAAAGGAAGAAGCTCTGGGACTTGCTGGAGAAGCCTAACTCGTCGGTGGCTGCAAAGGTAGGAAAAGCGGGGCGCTGCTCCCCCCCCTCCCCCCGTGCGCGGGCAGGAGGGCTGGCGGCCTCCCCTCCAGGCAGCGTCAGCGTTTCTGAGGCTTTGCAGAGGCAGGACCAGTAGGGCCGCGCGGGGAGGAGCGCTCTGCAGAGGCGCACGGGGCCACGGCACTGACTCTTCGTTCCACGTAATGGCGCGCGGTGGCGTGGCTCGTTCTTAAGCAGCGCTGCTGGGTCGGAACAGGGTTGGGCGGCAGAGGCTGCCAGGGTTTGGGTGGCCGTGTCGCTGCGTGGTGGCGGTGGCTGGAGTTTGAGGGGAGAGCGCTAGCTGGGGTGCGGCACACGTGGAGGGTCGGGCTGGCCTCGAGGGCTAGCTGGGGTCCAGCAACGTGGAGGGTGGGGGTGGCCTCGAGGGCTAGCTGGGGTCCAGCAACGTGGAGGGTGGGGGTGGCCTCGAGGGCTAGCTGGGGTCCAGCAACGTGGAGGGTGGGGGTGGCCTCGAGGGCTAGCTGGGGTCCAGCAACGTGGAGGGTGGGGGTGGCCTCGAGGGCTAGCTGGGGTCGGCACACGTGGAGGGTGGGGCTGGCCTCGAGGGCTACCTGGGGTCGGCACACGTGGAGGGCGGGGCTGGCCTCGAGGGCTAGCTGGGGTCGGCACACGTGGAGGGCGGGGCTGGCCTCGAGGGCTAGCTGGGGTCGGCACACGTGGAGGGCGGAGCTGGCCTCGAGGGCTAGCTGGGGTCAGCACACGTGGAGGGCGGGGGTGGCCTCGAGGGCTAGCTGGGGTCGGCACACGTGGAGGGCGGGGGTGGCCTCGAGGGCTAGCTGGGGTCGGCACACGTGATGGGCGGGGCTGGCCTCGAGGGCTAGCTGGGGGCCCGGCACACGTGGAGGGCGGGGCTGGCTTCGAGGGCTAGCTGGGGTCGGCACACGTGGAGGGCGGAGCTGGCCTCGAGGGCTAGCTGGGGTCCGGCACACGTGGAGGGCGGTGCTGGCCTCGAGGGCTAGCTGGGGTCCGGCACACGTGGAGGGTGGGGGTGTCCTCGGGGGCTAGCTGGGGTCCGGCACACGTGGAGGGCGGGGCTGGCCTTGAGGGCTAGCTGGGGTCCGGCACACGTGGAGGGCGGGGCTGGCCTCGAGGGCTAGCTGGGGTCGGCACATGTGAACGGTGGTGCTGTCCTTGAGGGTAAGCTGGGGTCCAGCACACGTGGAGGGTGGGACTGTCCTTGAGGGTAAGCTGGGGTCCAGCACACATGGAGGGTGGGACTGTCCTCCAGGGTTAGCTGGGGTCTAGGACACCTGGAGGGTGGGGCTGTCCTCGAGGGCTAGCTGGGGTCCAGCACACATGGACGGTGGTGCTGTCCTTGAGGGTTAGCTGGGGTCCGGCACACATGGAGGGTGGGACTGTCCTCCAGGGTTAGCTGGGGTCCAGGACACCTGGAGGGTGGGGCTGTCCTCGAGGGCTAGCTGGGGTCCAGCACACATGGACGGTGGTGCTGTCCTTGAGGGTTAGCTGGAGTCCAGCACACGTGAACAGTGGTGCTGTCCTTGAGGGTTAGCTGGAGTCCAGCACACGTGAACAGTGGTGCTGTCCTTGAGGGTAAGCTGGGGTCCAGCACACGTGGACGGTGGTGCTGTCCTTGAGGGCTAGCTGGGGTTCAGCACACGTGGAGGGCGGGGCTGGCCTCGAGGGCCAGCTGGGGTTCAGCACACAGGGAGTGTGGTGCTGTCCTCGAGGACTAGCTGGAGTCCAGCAGGACTAGCTGGAGTCCAGCACAGTGAAGTGTGGTGCTGTCCTCGACGGCTAGCTGGGGTCCAGCATATGTGGAGAGTGGTGCTGTCATTGAGGGCTAGCTGGGGTCTGGCACACAGGGAGTGTTATGCTGTCCTCGAGGGCTAGCTGGGGTCCAGCACACGTGGAAAGTGGTGCTGTCCTCGAGGGTTAGCTGGGGTCCAGCACACGTGGAGAGTGGTGCTGTCCTCGAGGGCTAGTTGGGGTCCAGCACACGTGGAGAGTGGTGCTGTCCTCAAGGGCTAGCTGGGTTCAGCACTTTGGAGTGTGGTGCTGTCATTGAGCGTGGAGGGAGTACCTCCTGGCCTGGTTCTCTGGAGGAGCATGGAAAGAGGGAGTGTGGCCCCGTGTAACTCAGAGGACTGTGGGGCTCCTTGCTTGAAAAGGGGCCTTCTGGTTAAACTGTGTACAGAGTGAGTCAGTGTCCATGGTGCCTCCCTTTACCTCCCTTATTATGAGGCCTACTCTGACAATGATGATCATTTTTTTTTTCCACAATTGAGGTATTACCCTACCTCAGAGTTTATCGTGTTTGCTTATAATGAAGGTAAACTCACATTTCCATTGTGCTGCATACATCTCTGTCTCAGAGTAAGTTTGTTTTGCCACGAATTGCAGCATTTAATTCAACTGCATGATTCTGTTTATCTAATTTTGGTTGAAGGTTAGCACAAACTGCTTTTCATCCCATATATTTAGTTCTATATTGCAATAGGAAATATGAATACAATATCAAGAGTCATCTTTAGCAGCAGAGGCGTAGTATTAGTATTTCATACATGTTAGATGAAAATGGAGTATGGAAGAGAGAAAAGGAAAATAGCAGAAAAACGTGTCATCACATACATTTTTTAAGTTGCTTCAGAATTTTTCGATGGTTCTTTCTTAAAAATCAGTAAAGATTATGGAAATATAATAGGCCATTATTAAGTGGAAAGTAAGATCTTATATGATAATCTACAACATGTAAATTATGTAAACAATCAACTGAATGCAGATGGTTGTAAAATTGCTTCTGCCCTGTTTGATATGCCTAGTTTTGCATCATGGTGACTTCTAAAGGCATTTTACTTTCTGGCCAGAGCATGGAAGTCAGTGAAATAAAATATGTTTCTGTTGTACACAATGAGGAAACGCACACCTTGTAGCAAACGGAAAGATTTCAACTAGGTCTTTTTTGTAGTTATGATAATTTACTTTTCTTTTATCCATAAGAAATAGATATGCTATACTTGTGGGTTTTGGTTGAGAAGGTTACTGCTCTTTGTAGTGTCAAGTGTTAAGTTACATATGTGAGTCACTGGTAAAAATATGGAGTAAATTTTAAAGATGAATGAGATAAACTCTGGATTTAAAGGAGTATTTTGGATGTTAAATGAAGTCTTTCAAGCCCTTAGGCGGTTGGGGTCTAAGTCATTGTTCCATCGAATGCTCCAGAGGGTGTTCGACGTGTATGCAAAAATCAGCAGCTAAATCAAAGAAAATTTGAAGTTTAATATGGCTTATTTGCTTATAACAGCATTATTAACACATATCTAAAATTCAGTACTGTTAGTTATAGAAAAAAACCGTGTAAGAAAAACATTTGTTTTTCTGAAGCATTTCCACTGAGGACAGAATATGATCAATAACTTGATTTCCCAGATGAGGGAGTTCATTTAATCTCTAAATTTTAGAAGCAGCATCCATCTCTTTATCTCTAAGAAGGTAACATTGATCATGGCCTATTACAGTATGCTATTATATATACCTGCACATCAGATAGATTATTGAAACTTGCTTCAAATTTTGTATGCACAGATAAGATATCTACCTACAAACTAAGCAGTTAAGGACATTGGTTTTGGAAATTTTAATGTAGTTGTAAATAATAAATTTGTTTCCAAATTATTAATCAAGTAAGGCAAATCTTTGCTAACCTAAGTAGATTTTTTTACTAAATTTTCATAAGGAATTGTATTTGTTTATTTAAATATCTATATTTTCCTCTCTGTTTGAATGGTGAAATATTATGGAAATCGTTTACGTTTGATTATATGGTAGTTTAGTGAAAGTATTGTTCATTTGTCTGAGGTTTGGAACCTTTTAAAAACAGCTCTGTATGGTGTCTTATGTAAATCACTACTTTTTCCTGTACTCTTCTCAAATCATATAACTTGTTGTTTCTCTGGAATAATTCTTGGTGAGGTGAGTCCTGTGTGTGAATAGTATTTTTACAACTTAGGAACAATTTGCTTTGTTAAAACTGCAGTAGGATGATACTCTAGTCCTCACTATTTGTGTTATGGGTACAGCAGGATCCTGCCTATGCCATGAAGTTCTTGTGTTGGAATGCTTGGAATCTATGTGTTTTTCCTAACTTGCTTAGGAGGTGAGATATCTTTGGAGGAGAATATCTGTTTACCTTGCCTCTACGGTGATTGCTTATTCAGTTTGGTAGTTAAGTTGAACATATATAGCATGTTCTGTGTGGGCTACACACATCTAACTGGACATGTAGAAAGACACTCTTTTCTCTCCAGAATTTAAAATATATTCTCTTGGCTTAAGCAGGAATTTCATATCCTTCAAAGTATTTGTCTTTTTCTCTTTGGGTTTTCCTGTCTTTTATAATCTATTGAGTATTTCTACAATAAAGAAAGTTAAAGTTATGAATTTACTTGCCAGATCCCTAGCACAGGAGGAAAAATTTGACCCTTTCTACCAAATATTCCACAATAGGCTATATTGATGACATGGAATAAATTCTCAGTAATCAATTCAATAATAATTGTCCAGCCTATAGTATGTCCATCCAGTATGTCACACAAAATTATTGCAAGGCCCGTTGACCTATTGTATTTTGTCCTTGAGTATGACCCTAAGAATAACAATTTGGCTTTTACAGAACATGCTTCTTGGTATTACTTTCTATTAATTGAACTTTGAAGTATATAAATAACTGGAAAAAATGCCAAATGGGGTTTAAATAAGTGGTATGTCTTAAATGTCTTCATTTAACAAGTTAACATTTTTACACACACACAAGATAATATGAAATATAATTGTACTTTTCACAAAATAATAACGGGGCTTACAGAAATTGTTCTTTCATAGTTTTCTATGATCTGGTACTATGACGTGAGTTTATATGTGCATGATGGACTTTCTGTTTTTTCAGTCTTGTTAGTTTATCTTGGTGACATTCTGTATACCCTCATGCAGCGATAATGTACA